GCTCCGACCCAGATCCCCGCTCGTCGTCAGAGCTTTTCTTCTTCTCTTCTCGCCCACCCGGGTGGCCCTTAGGGTGGGGGTTCCGACCCTTCAAAAGCCAGCCCAAAGTGAACACCGATTCCCCCACCCTCTCGGTGTACCTGGGGCCGCCCCGATACACCGAGAAGGGTGGGGGGGTCGGTGTCCCATTTGCGGCCGTTTTGGGGGTCTCCTGTGGTCTTCTCTGATCCGCGTTGTGCACACTGGTGGGTGAGTTTCCTCGCTCCTCGCCTCCTGAGTTGTGGGTTGGCAAAGCTCCCTGTCGGAGAGGGGCTGGTTGGGCGGGCGGGGTGAATGTGAAGAGTGACGGACTTCTCCGTATGCCGACTGTGACTCAGGAGCGGAAGCGGTTTCTTGCAATTCGCTCCTCGCCCACCTATCCAGCTCGTGTCGGATGTCCCTGGTCTGCCTGGGGCAACCCCTTCTTCGGCCCCCCGCGCAATCCATTCTCGCGTCTGCGGGCATTTGTCCGAACTGCTCGGGGTTGGGGGAAGGGGGGGTCCGCGGGCCCCGACCCGGATCCTCACCCGCCGTTGTGGAACAAATCCCTCGTCCCCTCTTTTTGCCCACCCGGGTGGCCTTCGGGGCGGGAGACCTTGACCCTTCGAAAACCACCCCGAGTGAAACACCGACCCCTCCTCCTTCGGTGTACCTAGGCCCCGCCCCCCTGGTACACCGCGACGGGGGGGGGGGGTCGGTGTCCCATTCTCGGCAGTTCCTGGGGGTCTCCAGTGGTCTTCTTTGGTCCCATTTTGCGCCCTTGGTGGGTGGGTCGGCTCGCTTCTCCCCTTTAAGTTGCGTGCGCAGGAAATTGCTGAACCACCACAGGTGTCCTAACATTTGTTACAAACGTATTGGCATAGACTGTAGTGTTGAGGGTGTTGAACACCCAAGGTCTTCTTGGACGTCGCGATCTGGGTGATGGGTGTGTCCGATACTCGGAATGGTTAGGCTTCTCCAGTGACGCAGGCAGAACAAAAAACGCGGACGGGACGGCGTCACCAGCGGTCGCCTCTGAGCTGCACTCCCCCGGATGGGTGCGTATGATAACATGTTTCTTCGTTGGACGTTTTCCAGGTCGTCAAGTCTTCGGCGAACCTCACCAGACCCCGAAGACTAAGACGACCCAGACAAGCCTACCAGACCGTATCCGCAGGTGCCAGACGGCCCAAAACCGCGCCAAGACGGCCCAAGAGGCTCCGAGGAGCCAAGAGGCCCTCCAAAACTCCAAGGCCGCACCTTCTTCAAGAGATACATCGGCATCATGGGAATTCTAGACGCTTCGCGTATCCCCACCAGCCCGTCCAGAAATGAGCCCCAGAGGAGTGGAGGTGATGAGGGAAGCCGGGGAGCATGCAGAAGAACAAAGAGCGGGTTAAGCCGCCATACGTTCCAAGAGGGGGAGGATGTAGGAGGAGTCGTCGTCGTCGGAGTAGGAGGAGGAAGACGAGGAGCAGGAGGAGGAGCAGGAGGAGGAGGGGGAGGAGGAAGAGGAGGAGGAGGAGGAGGAAGATGAGGAGGAGGAGATGGAGGAGGGCGAGGACGAGGAGGACGAGAAGGAGGAGGAGGAGGAGGAGAAGGAGGAGGAGGAGGAGGGGGAGGGGGAGGAGGGAGGAAGGAGAAAAAGAGGAGGAGGAGGAGGACAATGGCGAGCTTGGGGGCCTCTTGGGCCGTCTTTGGGGCCTCTTGGCGGTCCCGGGGGCCTCTTGCGTATCTCGGGGAGCTTCTTGTGTCCTTTTGAGAGTCTCTTGGAGGCCTCTTGGAGGCCTCTTGGGGGCCTCTTGGGGCCTCTTGGGGCCCTCTTGGGGCGCTCTTGGGGCGCTCTTGGGAGCCTTCGGGGCGCTCTTGGGGCCATCTTGGAGGAGATCTATCAAGAAGGGGGGGTTGCTTATTAGCGTTGCCCCTCTAGAGTGCCTCGAATCGCCTCTTGGGCCTTCCTAGAGGCCAAAATCCGTCCAAAACCTAAGGAAAATCAATGTTTTTTGCTTTCTCGCCTTTTCGCTCTTGGAGCCGTCTTGGGCCATCTTGGGAGCATCTTGGGGCCTCTTGGGGGTCTCTTGGGAGCCTCTTGGGGGCATCTTGGGGGCCTCTTGGGGCCTCTTGGGGCCCTCTTGGGGCGCTCTTGGGGCGCTCTTGGGAGCCTTCGGGGCGCTCTTGGGGCCATCTTGGAGGAGATCGATCAAAGAAGGGAGGGTCGTATATTAGCGCTGCCCCTCTAGAGTGCCTCGAGTCGCCTCTTGGGCCCCCCAAGAGGCCAAAATCCTTCCAAAACCTAAGGAAAATCAATGTTTTTGCTTTCTCGCCTTTTCGCTCTTGGAGCCGTCTTGGGCCATCTTGGACTCTCTTGGGGCCTCTTGGGGGTCTCTTGGCAGCCTCTTAGAGGCTTCTTGGGGGCCTCTTGGGGTCTCTGGGGGCGCTCTTGGGGCGCTCTTGGGGCGCTCTTGGGAGCCTTCGGGGCGCTCTTGGGGCCATCTTGGAGGAGATCTATCAAAGAAGGGGGGAGCTCCAATTAGGGTTGCCCCTCTAGAGTGCCTCGAAGCGCCTCTTGGGCCCCCCCAAGAGGCCAAAATCCTTCCAAAACCTAGGTAAAATCAATGTTTTTTGCTTTCTCGCTTTTTCGCTCTTGGAGCCGTCTTGGGCCATCTTGGACGTCCCTGACACCTCGCGGGGCGCCTCGTCCAGGTCAGTGGGGAGGGGTAAGGGGAGGGGTAAACCCCTCCCCGAAGGGGAAGAAGGGGGTTGGCAGAGGAAACTCTCTAGACCACCTACGCCCTAAAGGGCTGGTGGGATTAGTATGATACTTCCTCTTTCCCCCGTTTTGGTGTCTCCTTCCTCTTCCCCTCTAGCCGCCTGGCGCTCCCCATTTATCCCATCTGCACAAACCTTCCCCTTTTCATGCATGTCCATATATGTTTCTAGGTTGTGGTTCGTGGCTAAGTCAGGTTTGGGATTGAGGGTCTCTGGAACGGGCCGTGTGGCCCCCCTCGGCTGTCGTTGCGTGGCAGCCGACATGGTGGAAGGAGACAGTTCTTCCCCAGCCAGTTGATGGAGAAGTCGTGCAGAGACAAATTATCCTTTGGACCACCCCCATGCGCACGCAGGACCTGCCGGTGATGGCCAAGCTGCGGCGAGAGAATTTGGTGGCCTTGGTGGGACCCCATCGCGGGAGAGGGGAAGAAGAGGCGCGTGCGACGGAGGAGGACGAGCAAGAGAAGACGAGGAGAAGAGGAGGAGGAGGACGACAGTGCAGGATAATTGGGAAGAGAAGGAGGGAGGATGAGTAAAAGAGGGAGGAGCAGGAACAGGAGGCGGAGGAGGAGAAGGAAGAAGAGGGAGGAGGCAGGAGGAGAAGGAAAAGGGGGACGACCCCCCCCCCCCATAATTGCAGAGGCTCAAATGGTTGCCGAGTCGCTGGCCCCTGGAGCTCTCGACCCCGCCCCGAGCCTCGGTTCTCATCGCAGGTGGTCTTGTTGACGGTCCCAGGGCCCCGGGCGCCGAAGACCGCGAGCACAATTGGGGCGCTCCAGAGGGGACCTCGCCATCGAGAGTTCGAAGAGTTGCCCGCTCTTCCTCGGCGGAAGGCGGCGGATTTCAAACGGGGGCGGCTCCGCCGGGGGAAGGCCGGCGGGAGCTTGCGGATGTAAAAGTCCGCCTTGGTTCGGAAATTGCTAAAGGTGCCCCAGGCCCAAGGTGCCCCCAGCTTTTCGATCAATTTTGAAGCCCCTGGGCCCCTCTGGGTCTCGTGAAGGGTGCTCTGGAGGCCGCGGGGGCCTCCTTGGAAATCCTGGGGGCACCTTGGGCCACGGGCACTTCTAGCAACACCCGACTGATGCGAACTGTTTTGGATGCAGGGTTTCTCGAACCCGCCAATCAGACGCGATCTGCTTGGGTCGCCACGGGTATTGTCTCAAATCGGCTCCCAGAGTCTTGGGACGCGCTGCGGCCAGAATTCCATGGCGGACCCAGAGACACAACAATGTTCGGAGAGCCGCGCGAACTTCTTGTATCGGCGAGAGACCACCCTTGGCGGAGCTTCCGGCGCCGCCACTGGCGCGCTCCGCGCACCATGGAGGGGGCTCCTGCGCCGATCGAAAAAATTGGTGCGGACCTCCAACCGTTGATATTTCTGCTTTTTCTCTTCCTCGAAAACTTCCCCACCAGTAGTTCCTGGAGGGCCCATGAAGGCAGACACACCCATAACGTGAAAGAGCGTGTCCGACCGCTGCTGGCGGAAAACCGAGGGGGGGTCACTACCGGTTCGACCCCCCCCCCCTCCGGAAAACCAGGGGGGGGGCACTACCTGTTCGAACCCCTCCCCCCCCCCGCGTCAATCATGAAAAGGGGGGGGGGGGCCCTGGTTCGAACCCCCCCCCCTCGAAAACCGACGGGGGTGCGGACAGTGGTGGGGACGGTGGTGGTGGGGACAGTGGTGAGGGGACAGCGGGACAGTGGTGGGGACAGTGAGACAGTGGTGGGGACGGTAGTGGTGGGGACAGTGGTGAAGGCGGTGGTGAGGACAGTGGTGGGACAGTAGCACGGTGGGGAAAGTGGTGGGGACAGTGGGGACAGTGGGACAGTGATGGGGACAGTGGGGACGCTGGGACAGCACAGTGGGACAGCGGCGGGGACAGTGGGACAGTAGTGGGTATAGTGGGGACAGTGGGACAGTGGTTGGGACCGTGGGGAAAGTGGGGAGAGTGGGACCGTGGTGGGACAATGGTGGGGAGAGTGCGGGGCATTGAAACACTGGTGTGGTGGGGGCACTGGTGGGGACAGCGGGGACAATGGTGGGAACAGTGGGGACAATGGGACA